GCCCTCTGCTCGGGTCACAACGTACTGCGGGGTTGGGCGGCTTGACTGCGTAAGTGTCTCCGGTCACTGGCACTGCGAGGAGGTAGGTGCCGACTTTGAACTTTACTGTGGGTAACACACACACAGTATATGCTACCGTCTTGTTGATTCCTTTGGCTTATCTCCTGCTAATAACTGCGCCTCCTTTACTGAACTGTACTAACTTTAGTTCCAGATATTATTTATTGAACTATTACACCTCTGACCAAATGTTATTTACTTTACAAATACTTTCTGGTCAAATATTCTTTACTGGCCAAATGTTACTTACTGTAACTTATTTCATGTAATTTCTTCACTTTACTTTACTTCAGTTTACTTCACTCTACGTAACTTCAGTTTACTTAACTTTACTTAACTTTACTTAACTCGCTAGAAATGAGAATAATAAATACAATGCATAAGACATTGCTAAGAATTACAAATCACATCACATTATAAATTATTAATAGTTATCATATTCAAACATTAACAATAGTAACTATGGTCCTACCATTTTCTTAATAACATTACATCTACGACTCTACATACCAGTACATATGAATATGAAATAGAACAATACTAACCCGACACAATCGGATAAACACACTTTATCAGCTAATTATGCCAGCCAGGCTCTTCTGACATAATTCAGGTAAGAGAGGCCGATACATGATTTGGGCTTTCAATATATACTCTAAGTTTGGCGTGCTTGTCCCGCATTTAAGCGTGGCATCCCAGAGTCGTGTTTAAATGACTCACAAGCGTGGCTTCGGATTCCGTTACGCGTTGGTCATCAGAGTGACAACTCAGAGTTGGGACGCTTGATAAGAATGAGTGTATTGCTTAAACTGGGTCATGGCCAAAGTGAATAAGTTAATTTCCATTGTTATTTGAGTCTACTTGTATTATTTTAAGGCCCAGCCTAATTGTGTCATATCGCGTGGGGTAGCGCTGAACGCGTGTGGAAGCGATGGAGAGAGTGGAGCCAGCGGGTCTCACAAAGGTGAGGACCAGCGGGTCTCAACACTGTTCTTAGACTTCTCATCAGCATTTAACACTATCCAACCACACCTTATGATAAAGAACATTTCTTGTTAGGTGTAAATTCAAATATTCAGGCTTGGATACTGAATTTCTAAAAAAATCGACCACAATATGTCAAAGTAAATAACCAATTATCTCTAGCCAGAGAAATAAGCACAGGGGCTGTACTCTCTCCTGTACTGTATACAATACATACCAATGATATAACAAACAAGTCGTTAACTTATTCTACAGTGCAACTATTGGAATCCTGCTTAATTTCAGTATTACCTGCTGGTGTGGGAATTCAACGTCTGATATTAAACACCGCATAAACCGACTAATCAAGAAAGCAAGGAACATAACACAAACTAAACATCCTTCACTTGAAGAACTATATGAAGAAAGATTTTATTGTCAAACTAAACACATTTTGGATGATACATCCCACCCTCTCATCACAGATACTTAGGATAAGCCCGTTCAGGACGATTTCTTTCCGTTAGGGCGTGGACTGAAAGACATAAAAATTCTTTTGTTTCACAATGTAAACGAATTTACCAGCGTGCTCCACCTGAAGTCACACATCTGAATGAGAACTGATAAGTCCCTGATATGGCTAAGAGAACTCACGGAGTGGCTGCTAATGAAAACATTTATTACAAATGTCTTGTTTGAAATTGTTTTTTTTATAAGTACTGAAAATGTATGCAATCATAAAACATTTCCATTTGTTTGGATCAATAAAAGAATATTATCTATCTTATAAAAAAACATTATATATATATATATTTTTAAATTTCAACATTTAAAAAATCCCTTGTTGATATCAGGGGCGTCTGTACAAAGAGTAAGGGGGAGCACTCACTTCCGAGTTAATAGGGAATAAAATACCCCTCGCCACACATTTGTTATAATTCCCGAGTTTAAAAAAATGAATATTTGAAAGGAAAAAATAACAAATACTTGATATTTGAAGCTTAACAAATGGGTAAATTCAGTTTGTGTAGCTGCCGGTCGAGTTGCATGCTTGGATTGGTCCAACCAGGCAGCAAATGATACCTTTGTGACGTATCCACCATTAAGCAACACCTCATCTTGTGTAATTTAAAATTAACAAAATAAATATTGATATGTATAATAAATTCATTTTAAAAAACAATCATTGATTTGTTAATTTAATTTTCAGAAGTAAAAAAAAAATAATGAAAAATTTGAACTATTAGCAAGATAGTAATCGCTTTGTATCAATCAGCTATCATTATTAAATCGTCAACAATGCTCTAACAGATTTTTTAACAGTATAATTTTTTTATGATGAAAAGTGGGTCTTAACCTAGATAAAAACTTGTTTACAACTCTATTTTACGAAATATTATATTAAAAAATTGCTACTGGTATATATATATATAAATATAAATACATACACACACGCTTAAATACAATGTTAGATGTGGTATTTATGACGTAATGTGATGTGACGTTTTACGGTCGTAGGAATGACAAACCCTGTAGCCGACCTGTTTACCTCACCACCACCTGTTTACCTCACCACCACCTGTTTACCTCACCACCACGAATTAGCATATCGTATTGCTTAATATTTTTGTTTCTTTCTTTCAACAGCTACTACATGGCAATGAATTCCATTCAAAGAAAAAACTGTGGGAACCCTGTAGATCAAGTAAGCATTTAATCAAAATTATAAATTGTATATTAATTGTATTATAAATATAAAGGAACTATCTACACAATTTTTGTCCATCCATTTAAAGTTGTACCCTTCCGGGGGAATGCACTAATGTTTTTGAGAGTGATAAAAATGGCTGATTTATAACGCACGGTATTGTTTTATAAGACAATCACCAAACACTAAGATAAATATAAGACAGATTGAAATAAAATGATACCTTTACGGTTCTTAAAATAATTAAGCGATGCCCCTACTCTAAACTATTGATTCTTTATTGTTAATTGTAGAGAGAGAGAGAGAGAGAGAGAGAGAGAGAGAGAGAGAGAGAGAGAGAGAGAGAGAGAGAGAGAGAGAGGGGGGGGGCTGATTTATTGAAATATTGGCATAAAAATATAAGGCTTTAAAATTCCAACACAGGAAAGACAGTTCTGGAAGTCTGTGATCAATATGATAAGTAAGACCAAGACTCTCCCAGCCGTGATCTTCTATTTCTCCAAGAAAAAGATCAACGATATCAGTAGATACACAACCCAGTTTAGTCTGACGTCACAGTCCGAGCGCGAGGAGATCAGCTCGTTTATTGACAAGTGTTTGACCCGGTTAGAACCCAGGGACCACAAGCTGCCACAGGTAAGGAGCCAAGGGACCACAAGCTGCCACAGGTAAATCTTGAGGTTTATAATAATATGTAATGGCTGAAACCCCATGATTCGATTCGATGTTTTGGATGTAGTTTAATTGGTCTTATCCTTGCATGATTTGGTACGAGTAGAATTCTTAAGTAGAACTTTTCTTAAGGATGGCTTTGGGATATGGATGACGCTGATGGACACTGGCGCATGCAAGGCAGAACATACAAGGCCACCGGGAAGCGGCGATATCACGTTGAGTTTGTTGGTACACATCAAATAGCGTCACTGCTGGGAGGAATCATGTCACGTGACACAATCACCAAAGCCATCTCGCTTGCTGTTGGCCACTACCTCAACACAAATCCAACCATTACATTGACCCCTATGTCCAAACATTACATTGACCCCTATGTCCAACCATTACGTCGACCCCTGTCCAACCATTACATCGACCCCTATGTCCAACCATTACATCGACCCCTATGTCCAACCATTACATTGACCCCTATGTCCAACCATTACATTGACCCCTATATCCAACCATTACATTGACCCCTATGTCAAACATTAAATTGTCCCCTATGTCCAACCATTACATCGACCGGTATGTCCAACCATCACCTTGAGCCCTCTGACCAACGGCAGGTTTTTGTCCACATGAATCACAACATATGTCTGGAGTTGGATAAGGCAGCAATGTTTCGAAGTTGACTGACTTAGCCGGACTTTTCGACAACAAATAATTATTTGAATTTTATATGTAACTGGATGCTTTATTTTGTTGATGCCCTTGGTCTTATCCCTTTACGATGACTTATTCATTAAGTTGACTTATCCAGTTAATTGGACATTTGAACTAATGTGTTGACTTGTAAGAATGCAGCTCTATATATTTTTACTCTCCGACCAAAATTAATTGTATATTTCTTTCCAATAGGTAAAGATGCTAACTGATTTACTCCAAAGAGGATTTGGTGTGCATCACTCCGGTATACTCACCATGTTTAGAGAGATGGTCGAGATTCTGTTTCAGAAAGGCTTGGTTAAGGTGAGCAACCTACATTTTCTTGTACATTCTAGAAAGTGGCTTTTCTTTCTTTGTAGCGATAAGCACTACACAAATATATCAAGTTATCAATAGTAGGAGCTTTTTTCTAAGGTCGTTAGAGCAACTTGAGATAACACGCAACTTGCTATCCTAACACCTAATGTTTGTTGGTTATTAGAAAAAAAGATACCCCTCTATATGTTGGTTAAGTTATAATTTTTTTCTAGGTTCTTCTAGCCACGGAAACTTTTGCCATGGGTGTAAACATGCCGGCAAAAACAGTTCTGTTTGAGAGTATGATGAAGTTCGACGGGAAAGCGCTCCGCCCCGTGCTGTCCAGCGAGTACACACAGATGTCTGGACGAGCCGGGCGCCGAGGGCATGACACCACGGGCACCGTCATAGTGCTCTGCAACGGGGAAGTGCCGAATTTGGAAAATCTGCAAAAAATTGCTCTGGTAAATGTAACAGACTTGTAAAGTCTTCAATACAAGTTACGTTTTATTTTAACTCTTTTGATTATGAATTGATCAACTTTAAAAAATATAGCCCGGAAAAAAAAGAAGAAGTTTTATATTTGAAAAAGTGAAACTAGTTGAGTAAAATTGAATCAAGATAGAAAGTATACTCGATGACATAGTGAGGTTGACAACAGAAGAGTTAAGCTTGACATGTGCATATGTGTGCACTAAATTCAAAGTATGATGATATATTTTAATCGTGCAGAAAGCTATACCATTATTCAATCTCCACACCCCACCCCCGAAAAAAAACACCAAACACCTCAACCAGGGCATCCCAACTCCCCTGGAGTCGAAGTTCCGTCTGACGTACTCCATGATCCTCCACCTGATGAGGGTGGAGAGGGTCAAAGTTCACGACATGATGAAGCGAAGTTTCTCAGAGTTCCACACGAAGAGGGAGTCCCTCAAAGAGCTGCAGCACGTCAAGTCACAGGTGGGGGAGCTCAAGGACGTCCGCTGCTACCCGTGCTCAAAGGACCTGGCTCAGTACCACGCAGAGTGCGTGGAGTTCTACAGACTCCATGGACAAGTGCAGGTCATTTGACAGTGGAAATATACGCATAGATAAATTAAGTTGTTTAAATGCATGATGAAATGAGAACTTGATGAAATGAGAACTTGATGAAATGAGAACTTGATGAAATGAGAACTTGATGAAATGAGAACTTGATGAAATGAGAACTTGATGAAATGAGAACTTGATGAAATGAGAACTTGATTAAATGAGAACTTGATGAAATGAGAACTTGATGAAATGAGAACTTGATGAAATAGAACTCCCATTGAATTTATTGAAACGTTAACATATTCTTTGTTAATTTACATCGCTTCTTTATCGAAGTATAAGCAAACATGTTAAACTTTTATTATATTAAGAAGCATAATTGAGATTTTAAAATATTTTAAAATTAAAAAAAAAAATTCATTTATCATAACGCCACTTGGGTAGGGGGGGGGGTTGAAGCTCCTTTTAAATTAGGAGGATATTTTTTTTATTTATCATACCCCTGGTATGACACCCATAGGCACAATTCCTGAATCTCCCAAGGGTGACCAGAGCCATGACCCCCAGGCGTGTCTTGATGGTCAGAAAGCCAAACAATAAAATCGCTCTGGGCGTCCTCCTGGCAACCTACGTGACGGAGAAGTATGAGACCAAGTTCAAAACTTTCATCTTGAAAGATTATTATGTGAAGCAATCATACACCGACGGCAGTAAGTGGAGTTGAACAAAAAAACAAACAAGCAAACAAACAAACAAACACATTTCATAGTATTATGGGTAGATTCGTTTAACATTCGTTCTCATCAAACATTTTTGTTTGACATGTTAAACGTTGGTTTCATGTCGAGATAAACATGACTTTTAAATCTTCAAATATTGGTTTAAACCTGCAAAGTGTCTCGATTTCTAGGTGTCCATCCTGTCGAGATGTGTACGATGTACATAACACAGAACCCCTGGTACGAGGTGGTAGAGCTATCCACTAGGGATATCTTTGGAGTGACAGGTCTAGTGATGGACTCATTGAAAACAAACAGTGTCCTTAGATGTTTGGAACAAATACAAATCACAACCAATCAGAGGTTGGTTCGATGTGTTTCAAAAGGTTGTCTTAGGTTTGCGATATTGTCTTAATACAACATTTTATTTTAAAATGCTCACAAAAGCATTTCATTGGTCAGCTCATTATAATTATTTCATAGGTCAGCTTATTATAATATTTCATAGGTCAGCTTATTATAATATTTCATAGGTAACCCCATTACAATATTTCATAATTTCATTTAAACATAGATACCTGCCAGACATCATCTTCGACCTTATTCGGAAGTTACATCAGCTTAGTTGTCACTTCTGCCTTGGGCTAAGTTCACACCTCACATTTAGTGATCTGGAGAAACAAAGCCCAGAGCTTGCCGGCCCATGGAGAGCCATCAGCTTCTTGTGGAGGAAGCTACTGACACACAACTACGACTGCAGACGTTGTCCCCACTTCCGTGAGCACGTGAGTAGCGAATCTTTTAAATCAAATCACTGTCATGAGCTCTATTATCATTTTAGAATGAATTAAATTAAATGGATATGCTAACATTTCCATTTTCATCGACTTTTATCAAAGGCTTGGTATTTCAGAGTCAAGCGACAAATCCTTGAACAAAGTTAACATCTGTTAAAAAATATAGGCTAATAATTAAGGTCAAGATAGACATCTAGGTCTGTGTTAACAATCAAGAGAATTCATTCGCTACCGGGTCTATGTTTTTTTTAATCAATATTCTTGCCCTAAATAGAGTTAATCATCTGTAAAAATTCATCTGTATATTTGGTCTACATTTTTAAAGAAATCGTTGATTAAAAGACATCTTTAAAAACAAATCAATAATAACGCGTTGGGAAATATCAGAATTTTCTATTTCAGTTCAAGAAAATTCATGTAGAAATTGATGGCATCTTCTGAGATATATCTCATAACAGCAATATTTAATCTAAACTTTGAAACTTTACTTTGTGATTCCAAAGATGGTTTAGGGAGGGGTGTGTGAAGAAATCAGGCCCAGAAAAATGTTTAATGAATGTTTAAATAATTCCCCGCACTTTCCCATAATCACTAACAATAAAGACACAGTCGTTTTCCTGGAAATTATCATTCTTTATGAAACGGAAATTCCCCTATACACCCCTTATAATGTATATTCTTTTTGTTTTAGAGATTATTTTAATTAGTCCACAATAACCTGCTTCAGGTCACTTGTTTGGCGTGCTAATTCTACTGCTCTTATATCCTTTCCTAAGTTCTATGAACATGATCGGAACATGAGACTCCGAGAGAAGCACACCGACTTCCAGAAGCGCGTATCTGAAGAATACCTCAGTTTACTTCCAGAGTACCATCAGAGAGTACAGGTGAGACCATGAGAGAGTGCAGGTAAGACCATCAGAGAGTGCAGGTAAGAGCACCAGAGAGTACAGGTGATAACACCAGAGAGTACAGGTAAGACCATCAGAGAGTGCCGGTAGACCATCAGAGAGTACAGGTAAGACCATCAAAGAGTACAGGTGATAACACCAGAGAGTACAGGTAAGACCATCAGAGAGTGCAGGTATGCAACCAGAGAGTACAGTTGATAGCATCAGAGAATACAGGTGAAAACGCACAGAGAGTACAGGTAATACCACCAGAGAGTACAGGTAATACCACCAGAGAGTACAGGTAAGACCACCAGAGAGTACAGGTGATAACACAGAGAGTACAGGTGAGACCATCAGAGAGTACAGGTAAGACTACCAGATAGTACAGGTGATAACACAGAGAGTACAGGTGAGACCATCAGAGAGTACAGGTAAGACCATCAGAGAGTACAGGTAAGACTACCAGAGAGTACAGGTGATAACACAGAGAGTACAGGTGAGACCATCAGAGAGTACAGGTGATAACACAGAGAGTACAGGTGAGACCATCAGAGAGTACAGGTGAGACCATCAGAGAGTACAGGTGAGATTACAAGAGAGTACAGGTGAGACCATCATAGAGTACAGGTGATAACACAGAGAGTACAGGTGAGACCATCAGAGAGTACAGGTGAGACCATCAGAGAGTACAGGTGAGACCATCAGAGAGTACAGGTGAGACCATCAGAGAGTACAGGTGAGACCATCAGAGAGTACAGGTGAGACCATCAGAGAGTACAGGTGAGACCACCAGAGAGTACAGGTGAGACCATCAGAGACTACAGGTGAGACCATCAGAGAGTACAGGTGAGACCACCAGAGAGTACAGGTGAGACCACCAGAGAGTACAGGTGAGACCATCAGAGAGTACAGGTGAGACCATCAGAGAGTACAGGTGAGATTACAAGAGAGTACAGGTGAGACCATCAGAGAGTACAGGTGAGACCATCAGAGAGTACAGGTGAGACCACCAGAGAGTACAGGTAAGTCATCGTGTGCAACATTTTTTAATTTTCTTTCTTCTCAAAGTCTAGTCTAGGATTTCCCATCATACAAAACTATTTGATACTATCCCAATGGCGTCTTTCCCCGCCCCTCCTGAATGGTGAAAGCTTATCTTGCTTAATGTTATTGAGGTGCTCAGTACATCTGTCAGAGAGTAGGTGTCCTGTCTCACCTATATACGACACCTGACAGCGGGTGCTAACAATAGCGTAGACAACATTGTGGTTAGTACAAGGGAAACCGCCTCTTATCTGAAAACTGCCCAAATTCCAGTGAATGTGTTGAATCTGGACGACAAAAGGGCAAGTGTTGCAAAGGCTGTATGTCAAGGATATGAAAATCACTGTTGTTATGTGTAGATCACTGTTGTCATGTTTGGTAGGGAAAAGAGGTTTAGATTAGAGATTTCATGTGTAGCTGTATCTACTGCGTGATATTGCTGTAACCTATTTGTGTAAGGGGAAATGACGGGTTAGTTTTTGTTGTTGTTAGGGTGCATAGATGGCCGTTGAGGGATATTCACGGCGTGGCTTGGTCTTGTGTGTGGGGGATTCGGCTGAATGTATCGTTGAATTAGAACGCTGGATTGTTGGAGTACATTGATCCGTCAGGTTTTGACGAGACATAATAAACTTAGGGCGTTTAACTCATATACAGATATTCAGTGTTTGCCGTGTTGGCGTCGGTTAGACCGGTCTGTGTGAAGAAGTGAGAGACTAGGATGTCCCACAGGTGGGCGTCTGATGTCGGTTACACCGGTCTGTGTGAAGAAGTCAGAGACTAGGATGTCCCACAGGTGGGCGTCTGATGTCGGTTAGACCGGTCGGTGTGAAGAAGTGAGAGACTAGGATGTCCCACAGGTGGGCGTCTGATGTCGGTTAGACCGGTCTGTGTGAAGAAGTGAGAGACTAGGATGTCCCACAGGTGGGCGTCTGATGTCGGTTAGACCGGTC